AACGTATGGCAAAGGTTTACTATTTATTAAATAAAATGACTTACAAATCAATTAGAAAATGAACTATGCAATAGAAAAATGAGTTATAGATAATTCCCCACACGAGAACTATAAATGACCTGGGAACAAGAAAAATTCAACCTCACTAATAATTTAAAAATAAAATCAAAATGAGATCATCTTTTTCTATAACCAAGTAGAAAAAAGCCTTCTAAAAAATAGAGAATTAATTGTCTATGTATGACAGCAACTGTTTAGGGCTATGAGATCCGTTGTACAACTCAGAGATGGGAACAGTGTTTCTAGAGAATATGACGAACAAAAGCCTTAATTTTGTTCATGCCATTTGGCTTGGAGGTTCCCTTTTTACAGAATTTCCATAGGAGATATTTATGGGCTTGTGCAAATGAGGATGACCAGTAGAGTATTGTTTGTAATAGTGAAAACTGGAAAAAACTCAAACGTTTCACTTAAAAAACTCAAATATTTTAAAAATAAGAAATTAATTAAATTACAGTATATCCATAAAATGGAATATTATTCAGAAATTAAACTGAACTTTTAGAAAAATAGTTAATGATATAGAACAGGTTTATAATATCCTGCCAAGTGGAAGGAGTGCTCCTTTTCCGCTCTATCACGATACCAGGGAATGTGTTCTTTTGGTGCCCTGGAACTCTTGTCTTGTTTGATATTCAACCATTTAACATCACTTGTGGGTGCTTCACCGGTGCCTGTCCTGACACTTGGTAACAATGACCCTGTGAGTCTCTCTCCTGATCTTTTTGAACTTATACAACAATTTTACAATGGGAAAAAAAAAATCTGTATTTAAAAAGGAAAACAATACTGGTAAATACTGGGCCCATGTCCCTGAGATACAGAACCTTGGGATGACCACTAAGGCAACAGGACAGTGATCTTGACAAAACTTGAAAATGCATTTAGAGCTAACAAAAAAAAATACACATGCCATCAATTGGATTTTTTGATTAAATTGACAATGCTAAAATATACTTTTTTGCTATTCAATGAAAAGACTGGGATAGGAAATCAGGAGTATAAGGGGTATGGTGTATGCTTTGAAACTACATGCAAATTATAACTCACCTCCACAGAGTCACTGCGATTCAGTCGTTCCCTGTGTAATCATTGGAAGCACCTCAGCACGATGGAGAGTTCAGCGTCTTTTGGTCACAACCTAGGCTCTGCTGCTCTGTGTGCTTAAGGCCAGTTACACAGTCTCTCTGTGCCTGTCTCCTCACCTAAAAAATGGGCATAATGATAGTACTGACATCACAGGGATATTGTATCTTTTAAGTGAATATATTTACTTCCATTTAAAAATATACAACTCTCTCACTTGTGTGCTTTATAGAGAAGTTCGATGTAATTCTTATACTCGTAGGTTGTCTCATTCCCTCCTGGCCCCCTTCAGGCTACTTTCAAAATTCTATCTTTGTCTTCAGTCTTCTTCAGTTTAATATGATATGCCTAGGTACAGAAATTTTGGTGTTTGTTCTGCATGAACTTCCTGCATTTGTGGTTTTGCATTTGTCAAATTTTGAAATATTCTTTGCAAATATTACTTCAAATATCTCTTTTGTTCTAGTCTTATTCTTTTCCTTCTGGTATTCCAGGTGTCCATGTTACGCCTTTTGAAACTGTCCCACAGTTGTTGGATGTTCAGGGCTCTTTTTTTTTCTTGTTACGTTTCAGTTGTTGGCATTTCCACTGACGTATCTTCAAGCTCCCTGATTCTTTTCTCAGCTGTGTCCATTCTACTGAAGAGTCCATGAAAAAATATCCTTCATTTTCGTTACAGTATTTTTATTTCTAGCATTTCTTTTTGTTTTTTTTTAGACTTTCAATATCTCTGCTTATATTACCCATCTGTTCTTACATGTTGTCTACTTTTTTTTTTCATCAGAGCCTTTAACCTTCAGAAGTGTTTCTCCTGTATATAGCTTTCTCCCCACTGCCACTTACTTGCTTCCCTAGCTATATCATCCCCAATCTCTGTCCTTGAAGTCTCCACCCCTTTTAACTGAAATGTTTCTCCTTAGGTGAGACATAAAAGCTGGAAGAATCTGGACCAAGCAGTAGTTATCTTCCACTGGCTGAGACAATACTGTCAAATTCTTTCCCATGGAATGTAGGACTTTGTTACATGATACCTGGTTAAGTTCTTGGAGGTAAATCTCACGACAGTTATGGGGTTTCCTTAAATCTGTACCCTCCAGGATTTTTTCACTTGTACGCTAGTCCACAGCCAGCAGACTCTGCCAGTTCATCAAAATGCCAATTAAATATTCCTACCAGCTTAAAAAAAAAAATACATGTATATATATATATATATATATATATATATATATAGGCCTTAGAGTAAGCATTCCGTAAATGCTAGCTGATGGTATTACTCTTATATTACTATTGTTACTATAATAGATTTCTAGTTGTTATTTTAGTTTTCAGTCCCTTTAAATATTTAGTAAAATTGGATGGTCTATATAACAGTTCCTTGCTTGCTCACGTACTCATTCACTGACTGTAGTTACCTATGTCTCTCTGACTTTTTTGCTTTGAAATCTTAAATAGCAGAGCCTAAAAGACACACAGAGAATCTATGAGGCTGTGGAAGGCATGCGGAAGAGCCAGGCAAGTAAGGGCAGTTATCCAGCAATGGGGAGGGAAACAGCACAGCTCAAAGCAGCAGACGGCAGAACAGGGCAATGGAAACCGTTCTGAGGGGCAACACGTTCCCAGCAGCACTAGCCCCACGGCAGGTCCTCCAAGTAACTCTAACTGTCCTAACCCTGCTTTTCTATGGAGTAGTTTTTCTGATTGGCCTGACTTCCATGTCTTTCTTTTATAATAAAACTCTGTCAGCTGAGGAAAACTGAAGACGTCTTTGACGTTTGCAGAGCATATATGACACACACACATGTGTCATGACACGGATAACTACGGGAAACTTCCAGACTTGATGGTGGCCCTCTCCAAGTTTTCTGCTTTGCTGGCCGCTTGGCTGCTTGACTCACGCTGCAACCTTATTCCTCATCCAGCCCTTTGGATGACTGTCTTAACTTCGAACTTAGCATCATGACTTTAACCTAAGGCACCTCTCAAGGTCTCAGTGCTAACTTCTGGCTTCCTTATTTGTAAAGCAGAATTGTTAGTAAGCACATATTATCGTAGCCCATGGAATCTTCTCTGCCATGAAATAGTAGAAAGATGAGACAACAGGCAGTGATAGAGTGTGAGTAATGGGCAGCCAGATCGAAGGGGAGGTGGTGAGTCCAGGAGAATTTCAGAAAGTAAACTGATAGAGTTTTCATGGGTGAAGGAAAGGGACAGGTCTGTGTTTTTGTCTTGGTTGCCTGGAATGACTATGAACAAGAAAATGGCAGGTTTTCCAGCAAAGATGAAAAAGTTTTTGCATGCAGGTGCCTTTGGAGATTTTAGGTAGAGCCTTCCAGAAGCAATTGAAAATCTACTTTCAAGAATTCAGACCATTTCTCCATTGCCCTAACTACCAATTAGTTTGAAAGTAAGCTGATATAGGGTAGACTGCTATTTTCTCTTCCCTGTTTATTTGCTTTTCGGGAGAATTTGGGTTCATACTATATCAGGAGAGACTCATATCATCCATGTTGGCCTCAGATAAAGCTATATTGTGTGGGCACCACTGAGAAATCTTGTGCACCAAGAATCTGACTTCCAGAGGGTTTTTTTTTCTTTGTAAGAATCATAAGATGTAACAAGATAGGTGAATAGTCATGCAGAAAGTTGATAAGCAGCCCTACATTAATTCTACTGCCTATCAAATTGGTTTCTAGAAGGAAAAAAATGTCAGAATGCACAAACTTCAGGTTTGAAATAACTCAGAGCCACAAGAGCATCTTGTAAAACCCCATATTATAAACTATGCTTTATAAAGAGATTTAATAGACTGTGGCAATAAAATTAATGGATGACAACTTTAAAATGTGTGGCTTCAAAAGCAAGTGCAGAAGAAAATGGTAATACTTTGCAAAAGGTATATATGTAATAGTCCACAATGTTATTTAGAAAGTTATTATTTCTGCCAGGGTGTTTGTTGTATGGGTGAAATAAAAAGAAAAAATAGCTAAGTAACCAAAAAAGAACCGAGTTCTGAAAAAAGGAGGAAATAAAGATAAGAGCAAAGAAAAAGTACCAAAAAAACTTTCAAAGAAAAAGGTAAATTAGCCACAAAAGATTTTTTTCAAAAAAGAAAATGTAGGAAAAAAATAAGCAGAGTAAATTCATGACAAGTGCACACAAAGGAAAAACTTCTAAAGAAGAAACACAAAGACAGGAAAAGGGAACTTATTTCTTATCACAGTAAGAATATAGCCTTGCTGATTTATCATTTTATTCCTTGGAAACCTTCTATCAATAAAGTAAGCCACAACTCTGTAGAATACGAACAAATATAAAAGTGTGCGTTAAACTCAAGAAATATTGAATAAAAAACCAACACCCGTCTTTGGGTGAGGAGACGATAAATGGTTTTCCCTTCTTTGTAGTTTTCTGTGCTTGAGCTAAACTTCTTACAGGAAGATATGCTACTTTCCTAATGGACGAGGATGAACTCCATTAAAAATGGAGCTCTCAGCTGCATTTTGTATCAAAATTTAATCCAGCAGAGTCTTACTCTGCTGCCAGCTAATTCAGGAACTGAACAGGATGACATGCTTTCCTGTACAGTCTATAATACAAACTTTCCCCATGAGTAAGAGTAGTTATCTCCAATTATCTGACATTTTTCCTCCCCTGCCTTTCCCATCACCCACTTTCCACCCACCCCAGGAGTTCTGCCCTGTCTTTTTTTTTTTTTTTTTTTTTTCTGAGAAACAAACAGCATGGTACCCATGCCTGCTACTATTATTTCCTATCTGGGTCTCCTTGGGCCTCTGGTGTTGGACTCCACAGGCTCCTAGAGTCCGAGAGGAGACTGGAGAGTTCTACCTGCCCACCTTCGACCTCAGACACCCACACTCCCCTCTGCCCGCTCGCACATGCGTTCCAGGATTCGGTGGATACTGGTGAAACTGGGCCTGTCTGCAGGCAGCTCGCTCCAACACAGACGCATCAGATTGTACAGTTCCAGGGGGCAGTTCTCTGGGCAGGAGAGGATGTTGCCGTCCCGCACGTAGCAGATGACCTCCTCGTGGGCCATCCCGTAGTAGGGCTGCAGGCCGTAGGAGAAGATCTCCCACAGGAGCACCCCGTAGGCCCACACATCAGACTCCGTGGTATAGCGGTTGTAGAAGATGGACTCTGGGGGCATCCAACGGATGGGGATGGCGTCGTTTTCGTTGGCTTTGTAGTAGTCAGCTGAGTAGATGTTTCTAGAGAGGCCAAAGTCGGCGATTTTCACCACCATGTTCTCACCCACAAGGCAGTTCCTGGTGGCCAAATCCCGGTGGACAAACTTGCGTTCGGAGAGGTAGGCCATGCCGGCGGCCACCTGCCTGGCGATGCACAGCTGCTCGGCACAGGAAAGGGGCGGCGGGCCGGGGCTGGAGGCCTGCGCCCCGCGGGTCAGGTCGCTGGGACTAAGGCTGCGTCCGGGGTGAGGGGACATGCTGCGGAGGAACTCATTGAGGTCCCCGTAGGCCATGTATTCAAAGAGCAGGCACATGGGCTTCCCCACCGCACACACGCCTAGAACCAAAACAAGGCCTCCTGTTAGAGGTTGCGTTTCTAAAGTGACACGTGGGAAAAAATTGTCCGAAAGCAAATGACCAGATCAGAAAATGTGGTGGCTTGCTTTTCTGTTGAGGGCATCATAGTCGAACTCTGACCCCCTTTCTTTGTGTAAACATCTCCTATTTATCTTTTAAGATTCAACTGATTTATCACTCCTCATGGGGTGCTTCAGCTCCTGACCTTTCCAGGATCAGATTTTCCTTCCGTCATTCTTTATCCTTAATCCTGCATCCTATCTACCTGCCTGTTATAACCATCCATTTAGCTGAGGTTTCTTCCCAACATTTTAGCCCTTTAAACTAGAGATTATATCTTAAGTCTTCTTTAAATTCCACACACCTACCATGTGTCTGGCGAGCAAGTACTCCATAAATATTGGGTGAATGAATTTATGAGTGGATGTTTGCTTTGAGTATGTAATGCAATTGCTCTGTCTTTCTGCTTCCTTTCTGAAGAAGGATGATAAGGAAGCTGTTGTATGAAATTTGGAAAGGAGCACAAAAACAATCCAAGATCTTAGATGAAGTATTCAGGTTACTGCAGTAAAACATGTAGGTAAATTTACAATGTTCATTCCAGAAAGAAACAAAATGTTAACATAAAGAGTCTTAGATTTAGTGCCAGGAAGACATTTGTTCATTTTAAAATCTTGCTGTATTTGAGAGGGAAATAGACAACTTGAAATATTAGATCAGATGGTCACAATTTCATATCAGCATAAAAATAGATCATTAACTATTCTTTTTTCAGGCAAAAGTTAGAAGTCCGTTCAAAAAGGAAGAGAAATGAGAATACTATTATCTTGGCTTGTTTATTTTGGTGTTAGTTTTTAATTCCAGGGACTTTAGCCATCTATATTAAATGTACTATATAAATTAAATTAAAAATTAAATACAAAATTGGTAAAAGAATTAATGAAAAGGCAAAATATTTTTCTGAGAAGTTTTTTAAAACTTCAATTTTTTGAATTTAGGTGATTTAATGAAATAGTCTACTCCCTAGTACAGAATATATTCTATGGGGAGGAACAGAGACATCTCTCTGATCAAGGAATGAAAGAAAAAATGTAAGTGAAGTATGAAGGAGAAAAAACTTGGCAAGCCTCTGTTTTCTGATGCAATACGTTTCTTCACTTATGTTTTCATACCTAAGAGTTTCACAATGTTAGGATTATCAAATTCTGCCATGAGGGCTGCCTCCCTCTGAAAGTCTGCTTGCATATCTGCCGAGGCTTCTTCTTTGAGCATCTTCACTGCCACCATTGTGAAAGGTTCATAGGGAAGTAAGCCTGGAGCCCTGAGAGATACATTTATTTAGCAAGAAATCAAAGATCAGGAAGATTACACAGAGTCGCATGGTAACTACCCATGTATACACATCCCCACACTCATGCAGCCTTTCCCAGAGCCACAGAACCAAAGTAAGATGCCAATGGCAGGTCCCACTTAAAGCTCCTTGACGCCAATGAATAAAAATCACTGGGGTTATTTTCAACACAGATTGTTTGAAAAATGCATTATTTATTAATAACAGAAAACCAAAAGTGCCCAAATCCAATGGGATTATCATTACCATCCTAACCCCTTAATCTCTGGCCAGAATATAAATTCCTGGAAGGCAGGGGCCCATGACTTATTCATCTTTATATCCCCAAAGAGCCTAAAAGGGTGCCTTGCATATTTTTTGGTTCCCAATAAGTATTTGTGTGAGATTTTCATTAATCATGTAACCTCCATACCAGGGCCACTATGAGTAGAAGTAAGGTTGTATCCTACCCAAGAGCAACAGGCCAAAGTAACAATTGGTGATTAAAACCAAGTCCACACTCTGTGGCCCAGCTGTGGGTCTGTGGAGCTACATCCATGCAGAGAGGATATTTTATTCCAACTCACACAAAGACATTAACTGGGCTAGCATTGGCCCTAATACATACTCGTTTTTTTGAGCTCGTTGGCTGACATTTTTGCGTAATTTTTTTTTCCTTTTTCTGTCTTGCCATTCTGTGAACATCTATTTAATATCCATACATGTCAGGCTTTGAGTTCTTAAACTGAAACACTATTTCAAAGTAAACATTAAGTGAAGTGGAGACTATAGCAATTGAAAATGGAAGAGATTTTAGAAGGATTTACTAAAAGCAATGTGAGAAATGATTATTTAAAATGTACAACGAAATTCTCTTCCGAAAAGAAAATATGATTAAACTTTGCTAATTGCTTATCATCGGAACACTTTATAAAGACTCTCTCCATATACACAACCCTATTTTCCAGCAGGGGGAAAAGTATCAAGATTCAAAGTACAGTACTCAATAAAAATAAGGTGAATGATGTGAAGAATGAACTAATTTGATAATAACTATTATACATATTACATAGAATCAAGTTAATATCTGGTAACTTTTCAGACACAATGTATTTCAGTTGGTAGTTTTTTGTTTTTTTTTTAACGTGGGCAACTTTACCTTGCTTGAAAGACCCTTCCAAATGCTCCCTCTCCAATATCTCTCACATATTCAATGTTATTCCTGGGATACTCCAGGCTGAGCAATTTGGGATTCAAAAGAAGTGGCATCCTCTGGTACATGGGGTTGGGATGAAGTCTGTCTAGCAGGAGTTCAGAAGGAAGAGTAGTGAGGGTTACAGCCGCTGATTCTCTGCAGGTAAGACAGGTAAGATCAATAATGAGCTGAGGACTAGGTGAGAGCTTTGTACTCAGACTTAGGTTCTAAAGAGACATGGTGTTTAGGGGGAAACAAATTATGCTAAGTTCACCAAAGATCCTTCCATTTTAGAGCCACGAAGAATTTGGTTTGGAGCCTAAAGTTACATTCTTTTTTTCAGGAATTGTGTCACTATCCAATCTGATAGTGGCAGTGGGGCTGAGGGGGCTGACAGCGAGCAGGAACGGCCATATTCTTCCAAACTGTGGTTTAGATTCCATCTGCTGTGAAAAACTAACCTTAGGACATGTGATCCTATGCAACAAGTCACTGACATTTTTAAAGATCATGGTGGGGCTGCTTACCGTTAAAGCAAGGCAATGGCTGTCATAAAGGAAGTGGCAGTGTTATATATACCCCTCCTCCCGTCTCCAGCTTCAATACCAAATACGTAAACGTTTTAAAAATGTTACTACATGTGGTTCACTTAAACTAGAATCTCACCTTTTCTTATTTTTCCATTGTTTTCGTCTTCGGCAGCAATAAAGAGTGGTTACGGTAAGAAGCACGAATATGGCAAAGCTGGACATGATGGAGATTATTACAGTCATGGAGTATGTAGGTGAGACAGAGGAGGAAGACAGGGAAGAGGGAGGCACGTTTGGAATGTCCACACTCGGCTTTGAGGACGTCATTGGTGGGAATGCTGTAAGTCAACAACAGATTTTCACTCATTCTTAAACTTTTAAGCAGCAACTTTCGTATTCAGGCAATCAGGAAACTAAATTTAAGATTATGTTCTAATGTATCAGGTTCTCCCTGGTTATATATCTATAAAGCACAATTGTAAGAATCCAGTGAAGTCTAGTTGTAAGTAAATCCAGCTTACAGAATCATAGAATTTTAAAGATGAGACTCAGAGAAAGGAAATACTTTTTCCAAGACAAATGCAAATCCTGGGCTAGTGTCTTTACACTCATCATAGTTTTTATGACCTGACAACAATCATGGACATTCTTAAGTTATTAAGTAAAATATTTTTATGAAATTGAAGTCAGGATTATCTAAAGCTGAGGTTTGTTGATTTACAAACAGAATTAAATGGAAGAACATGGAAAATGGAAATAGTAGGACAGAAATGAGGAAGTTAGTTCATCTAACAATTGAACTCCTGTCAAATTCCTATTAAAAAGGTCAATGCGATATACAAATAAGTTAAAATCTGTATTACCGCTGGAAACCAAAAGATGTCACACTAATGTCCCTCTGTTTGTAGGGTGCAACGTCCATTGTATATCTATTAAAACAACATTATGAATTATATTTTAAATCCTTTTAGTTGACTGAGTAAAGACAAAAACATGGATACAGAATGTTTTAATAATATAATCAACAAGAATGTCTTAATAGTGAAGAATGAACTTTGTACCCTAAAAAGACAGAATAAAGCTTATTTTCAAATATTTGTGGGATACTGACAGACACGGTCTTTTTTGTCAGGTCACAAAGATGAATCTCAGTAAATTTCAAAAAAAGAAATTATGCAGATCTATTCTTTGATCAAAATGCAATTAATAATAGATTAAATAAAATCCAATAAGACATTCAAAAAAGAAACATTTTAATAACCTTTCAATCAAAGAGTAGAAAGTAGCCATAGTTACAGATGACAAAATAACTTCCTAGCAGTGTTGATGAGATTTGGCCAAAGATGTGTTCAGTGATAAACTCATAGCATTATCTTCTTCCATTAGATAAAATGAATGAAGTGAATGAGCTAGATATTTAATTCAAGACTTTGGAAAAGAAACAAAATCTACAGAAAACAAAGGAAAACAGGTGATATAGTAACAGCCATGTACAAGCAGAAATTAATAAGTTAGAATACACATAGCACAAATGATAGAATTTAAAAATAGGTCAATAGTTTTTCTGATAAATATTTACAAGATAGTCTAATCAGTGACATTTTAATTTTAAAATGAAAAGAAAGGCACAAACATACAAAATTAGGAATGATAGAGTCATTTTAACAATAGACTCAAAGGTCAATAAAAATGAAATAATATATAACTATGGAGTTACATTTTTAAAATCTTAAGGAAAATGGTAGGAGCACATTAATTACCAAATTTGAAGAATCAGAAAGTCTGAAACTAGCCATAACCAGGAAGTTTAAGTCATTATAGAATTATGGTTATATTCTTTCAGTATTGGAAGAGATACAATTTTCACAGTTTTATAATATATTCCAGTAAGAGAAAAATCTTTCAGATTGTTTTAGCAAGCTATTATAATACTAATATCACAACCTGACAGGGTTAGCACAAAAGAAAAGTGCAGATTATAGAGCGTAGGTTTAAAAGATCCTAAATGAAATATTAGAACTTGACTGCAATATAGTCAAAGATTTCATAGAAGGAACTATATTATTATAACACATCACAGAGTCAAAGGAAAACTTTCATTGCAGGGATGCCTGAAGCCATTTGAAATAGGACACGTAAAAGCAGAGATTATAAGGGATGCCTACGTATGACTTCTTAGTCTAGGCATGGAAGCAGTGATTATGTCCTGAGCACCAGTGGCTAAACAAGTGGTTTTGAAGCCTGTGGAGACCAAGTTTGGTTACCCCTGTGACTCAAGCAGGCACCTGGAACTAGAAGAATATTAGCACAGCAGTAAAACATTCGTGCAGGACCAATGACAGCATTTCTCATCAAGCATCACAGCAGTGGTGGATGTAACAGACTTCCCAGGCTCCGCTGTGATGGTTTGAAAGCTGCTCTGACTTTCTGTGGACTGAGTCATTCGAAGATTTAAAAAAATCAATCCAAGATGAGTGGGGAGGGGGGCTCAAATTGGAGAGCTAAACTTAATGCTAATATGAAAGTAGGAGCAATCATTAAAAGACAGGGAGAAGGGAAGCAAGAAGGAAATATCCAAAAGATAAACTAATGATTAAAAGAAATCTTCCATCACCCTTCAAAGTGAACTGGTAATATCCTTTAGAGTTTACTCAGAATTCAAGAGACTCTCCAAGAAATATTTGAGGGCTTTACACACTCCCACAGAATATGAGACAGTCTACCTAATAAGGTTGACTTCTCTGTTCAACGATCGACCTACCTGAAGAGCTAAAGCCAATTTCTTTGATAATTGTATTTAACTCAGGGAACAATTTTAGACATTCCTCACCATATGGTCAGATGAAATGATCAGTTTATGACATCTGGAGTTCATTTTCTTACATATAGCAAAGATTTCATAAAATGATTTAGCTAATCTATGCTGCTCGCAATTTCTTATAATCAATGTAGAAGGCAGAAATCTGGATGCTTTTGTGTGTCTTATTTCTGTCTAATCTAGGATTGAAGGTCAGCACCTTTCGTACAGTAAACCCTCAATGAATGGATGAATGAGTAAACAAAGGATAACAAACATCACAGTCATCAATTAAGAGTCCGATCAAAGTTAACTTTGGTTGCTTCTGTGACAAAGAATTGAAACATTTCTTTTTCATTCTTTCAAGTTGGGAATGACAATCTGACAGGCTTCCAGAATAATAGATTTTTAGGGTTTTCCAAAGCTGTTCTTGTTTCCTAGCTCTGAGTGATTCAGTTGTGACCAGTAGCATTCTTTCTTTCAATATTCTAAGTCTTAGTCCTTTAAGTAAGCTGGTAAGATCAAGCCCTGGCATTTAGCCAAGTGCAGAAACAATTAGGCCTGGAATATCTAGCCCAAGAAATGAATATGATTTGAGCCTTGAACACGAAAATCAGAGGAAGTTAGTCGACATGAAAAAAATTTCTAATTTCATTCTGAAGATTTCTGCATTCTGATAGGCTTAACGTACCATCTGATACACGTTGGTTTCTAGGACACCCCTTTTCAAGCAACCTTCTTGAATTCTTTCCTAGAGATTTTGAGATCACCCTTTTAAAACCATTTGATTTGACCCTGTAAACTTTATACTATTGGATGATACAAAAATCATGAATGCAGAATCAAAAGGTGATATTTTAAATTGGCTTATTTTATAGCCGTAGAAGGGATAAAGCAACTTAGTAACCTTGAGGTAGGAGATGGGATTTGCATCATTCACTGAATATGGTGCTCTCCATGGCCTAATTAGAAGCTATAAACTGGGATCTCTGATGATCTTCCTTCATATTCTACCCTGGGTGAGTATAGTGAAAAGACTTTGAGAGGGACCGTACATCCCGTTCTGGACATCATGAAATATGGGTGTAAATATGCATGCATGAATCCAGTTACATACACATAACGTTTCAAGGGCACAAACAAAATTACTTACTTGTTAGGTTTTCTTTTTTATAATCTGAAGGGGAAAGGATAAAAATTTGTTTTAAGTGAATATCCAGATAGCTCCTGTGTTCTGTGAGAGAGTGCTAAGAAATGCAAGTTCTCTTTCAGCTTTTTAATATACAATGGGAAAACATTCTTCGCATTCAAATGCGAAAGGATTGCATCTTTGAAATTAAAACAGCTGTTAGGGCTCACCACATAGTTCCTTACAGATGAAGTTCATTAAAGCAACATGCAGCCATTCAGCTTTGTTTTGTGAGATCAGCATTTGCAAACATATGGCTTATTTTTGCATGCTGAAAAATCTGCTTCCTTGGGTAAGAAAGAGGACTTTATGCTTTTATTCCACTCCCCTGACAAAATATGAAGTTTCTTAGCCGTTTCTCTGCACATTCAATAAAATGTTATGAGCTCTCATAAGATCTGCTTATGAATTAAGGTAAGATCTCAAGCAGCAGCGAAAAGTGCTCTTTAATTTCTTTTAGAACAAATGGAATAAATCCTTATGTTAACCGGTGCAATTAGGATAGCAATAGGATTCTGTTATTGGGTATGGAAGGAAGGCAGAACTCAAAAAATATTGGAAATGCCTAGAAATATTAGGAGATTTAAATTCACACCTTAGTTTCCTCAAAATAGTAAATTTCTCTGAACCTCCAAAGTCTCGAGAGAACTCTGTTACCTAAATATGGCAGTCTGGTACAGGCCATGGGGTCCCAGTGCATGCTGGGGAGTTTGTTGCAGTCCGGCATGGAGAGCAGATGTATCCCAGATCTGTAGAGTCCCCTGTGGGTCTTTTCTTCCACCGCTAGCCATTCTTTTGCACAGAAGAGCTCCTTTACTGCCAGGCAGTATTCCCTAAAATAATTTAGGGAGAACAAAATTTGATGAATCATAGCACGTTGAAGCCAAATTGGTGGCGGAGCCTAAATCCCATATTTTCAAAACATCATCATAGTACCCTGTTTTTTCTTGCAAAAGTGTTTTTGTAAAGATCCTTTTATTGTAAATAATGTGAGAAGTTATGAAATATATAGTATATTATCCCATGAGATGAAATGCTGTCTTGTTTTGTTTTTAAAACATCACTAATGCTACTGGGGAAAAGAATGTTCAAGTTCCAAAGGTAATGGATTAGGAATCCCAGATATGTTTTCTCTTAACTTCATATTAAAGTAACTACAAAGGTACAGAAACAAGGTACGCAGAGCTTTAAAAGATCATTGTCAAGCAGTCTCCAGCCTGGGAGGTTCTTCTGTAATCTCAGGGCTAACGGGCAGGGCCTGAGGAACACAGTCCGTGTCTCTGTGTGCTTTGTTCCCTAAAACAGAACAGTATCACCTTCCTGAAAGGTTATAGGAGGGCTTGGGAGTCCTTACCCAGCCCTACCCTTGGAGAAGCTGAGTCCTATCCCATTGCTGTGTGTGCTTTCATCTGAGAAAGCTAGAGTAAGGTCTGTGTGAACATGAAGCTGCAATGTTCATCTCTGTTGTACTGAGTGAAAAGGCTGAAGAAAGATTAGGTAGACTAGTTGGACTAATTAGAATTTTGTGGATTAATCATTGTTCAAGCTTATCTTATAGGAAATAGGATAGACTACATAGGAAAAATCAGGTTAGTTCCAAATTAAGATATTTGGGATTCATAATAAGAGGAAATTAAAGATAATTAAAGAAATTAAGGATAATAATATCATTCATTCAATATATGAAGTATAAAAGAGGAGGAAATTTTGTGTGAGTGTGTACATTTGTGTGTAAGTGTAGTTATATATACATGTATATGTATTTTTTACTACTCATGCCTACACTCCTGCTTTCCCAGGCAACCACTTGCCAATATGGACCAACTGAGCATGTGCAGAATAAAAGGGCTGTGCATACTAATGTGACGGGATATAATGGGAGTCATGAGTACAACGATGGAATGTAGATTCTTAATATGTCTGCAAAGGAAGAGGGAACAATGGGGCTTTTAGGCTTCTGAGACTCTGAAGAACTGGAGAAACACTGCTTGGCTTGCTTCTTCTTATGCCTGGTCCCATCCTTGGGTCATATAAGCAAATCTTTCTGCATTCAGATGTTACAGTTAAACTGTGCAAAAGCAATATGGGACATATGAAAGAAATTTTTAGCCCACATTATGTGGAGAAAGCAAATACCTGGGAAAATTATTTTTTATTATACGTGGAAAAGACACGTTAGAGAATTTAAAAAATTGTTTTGTTTTCATTGACATGCACTGAAGCATGGCCTCTAGAGAAGAGTTTTTCACGGGGAAAAAAATCAAGATGAAATGGAAAATAGAGTGAAAACTAGGTTAAGTTAAACATGGTAGTGACTGAAGAAAATAAATACCACAAAGAAGTGAAAACAACTTTGTTTCACTGAAACAAGTGAAATCTTCATTGAGAAAGAAACGGCACAGCAAGATACTGAACAAATAATAGGGGAAAACTTTAGAAGTTCTAACTGAATGCAGAAAGAAAGATGAAAATAGTGAGTAAGGAGATGACTGAGAGGGAGAAGCAAGCAAGAAATTCAAAGTACAAATAACAATGTTTCCCAACAAGAAACTAGAGCACATAAAAAAATAGAAAAATACTCAGAGGTATACTATAAGAAAAATTCTTAAAATAAAAAGGACATAAGTCTGATGATGAAATCATATTATCCATTCTTTTTATATTACTTATAGGAAAGAAAATAATGAAGAGAAATCTACTCCCAAGTCTTTTTAAATGTCTAATTTTTTAAACAGTTATTGATTATATATAAGAGAAAAGAAAACCTTAATGAAGTATAAAAATGTGAAAATTTCTAGACTATATTTTTCAACCCCAAAGTGAATAAATTGTTTACAAGGATTAAAAAGGTAGAAACAATTTTCAGATTAAAAAAAAATACTCAGGGACTTCCCTGGTGGCACAGTGGTGAAGAATCTGTCTGCAAACGCAGGGGACACAGGTTTGAGCCCTGGTCGAGCAAGATCCCACATGCTGCGGAGCAACTAAGCCCGTGTGCCACAACTACTGAGCCCGCATGCCACACTACTGAAGCCTGCATGCCTAGAGCCCATGCTCCACAACAAGAGAAGCCACTGCAGTGAGAAGCCTGTGCACCACAACAAAGAGTAGCCCCTCTCGCCACAACTAGAGAAAGCCTGTGCACAGCAATGAAGACCCAATGCAGCCAAAAATTAATTAATTAAAAAAAATACTTGTTTAAATAACAGCTGGAATTAAGAAAAAATTTAAGTACACTACAAATGGCTCACAGATTTAAGAGTTAATTAACTATGCTATTCTAATAAATTTGAAATCTCAGTGAATGGGATTTTTTTTCTCAAAAAACAAATAAATTATTTTCAATCTTGAGAAAGAACATCTGTGGCCTATGCATGTAAACTGATCTAGGGCATAGATGTTGGGAAATTACTCAATAAATTTATTTTGTGCTAGCATATGAAGATACAATTCAATTTTAATTCTCATTGTTCCTCAAAAGATACTTAGATGTCATGTCTGATGAAAATATAATCTTAAGTGAAGAAACAACAAAGTATATGTCTTAAGTAATTTTTTTTTAAGATTTTTTTTGATGTGGACCATTTTTTAAGTTTTTATTGGATTTGTTACAATATTGCTTGTGTTTTATATTTTGGTTTTTGGGCCGCGAGGCATGTGGGATCTTAGCTCCCTGACCAGGGATCGAACCCGCACCCCCTGCGTTGGAAGGTGAAGTCTTAACCACTGGACCGCCAGGGAAGTCCCTATATTAGTCTTAAAATGTCTCCAAACCCTCAAAATTTGCAGTAAGTTGAAGAATGGAGCACTCTATTTTAATGACCTCTGTAGTCCTTTTATACTAAATAGAATGCCTTAAAACTATTTCAATATTTAAATAGTTCCTGGTTTTATCAAAACAGTTGGAAATGTGCTGTGTTGGTAGTCTTCATGTGTTTTCTTGAAAAGCAAACAGTATCCATCCAGTTTCTAATATATACCCTGGGTACAATTTATCCTTTAATCCTCTCAGCTCTATTGCAGACGAGGAAACTGAAGTTTAGCTGAGGTCATATGTCAGTGCATCTAGAAAGCAGTACAAAACAGTATTTGAACTTTGTTCCATTTAGCTCAAAAGCTACATTGATTCCTGTCTTTTCTACACAAGAAGTAAATAAAGGCAAAGATAATTCTATTGAAAGTGGGTTTATAAATTTCAGTGTTTAAAGAGTAGGGGGTTTTCAAGAAATATCTGTTTTATAACTGTTTCTACTCCTTCCACCCCCATGACACAAGAGTGTCAATACATAAATTAGAATATTGGGTGGAATGTATTTTAATATTCTGACATGCTTACCAAGATCTCATATTTATTGGCTAATAATGCTGAAATACTGGATATGTAGCCTTTATTTTCTCTATCTTGGCTTACTAATGAGGTCCATATTAGTTTGGGATTTTGTTTTTCACTTCCTAGAAAGCAGGGATGTTTATGAATATGATAATAATGTGAACAATAACAAATGTAATAGAATATTATATCTTTTATGACATTTTCTAACTTAGAGCCCTTGTATAATAGGGTATCCCCAGTGATTCACATGGTAGGAATTTTGTCCAATTAGTTACCTTATATTTTGGACAAAAGCCAGCTTTTGCCTTTACTCTTACACCTAACAACTTCCTCTTTGGAAAACTTTTCTTGTTGGCAGACAGACAAACAGAACTTCCCCATTTATTTATTTTGTAAATTTTACCTGCAAATGGGTGTAGGAGTAGGTGCCACCCCAGGGTTACATTCTTGGAAGATGTGGTTACACAGTAAAGCTTCAGCAGCCGGCCGGCAGAATGGGCTCACTGCTTTCAGTTCAATCCAGGCAGTGTGGACCAGTAGTTCTTGGGCCTCCTCAGGGTCTGCGTAGGAGTTGTTGAAGAAAACAAGAGCATCTTTTGCCAGGACAGCATTACACACCTCCCCTCTGTACTCGGCGCAGTAGCCTTTGTTATCTTTCTGTGGTTTACTGAAAGAAGCAGTGAAAAACATTCCTGATCACATGCTATTTCTTAGCATTCCATCTGCCTTTTTGTTTGTTTTCCATTTCCACATCTGCATCACAGAAATAGAAGATTGCACCAGCAAATTGGTTGAAACGTTCCATCTGAATATTGTCTTCATTTCCAGCAGCAATTATATTACCTCTAGCTACTCCAGAGGGCTATGAAGAGGATCAAATGTGATAATGGATGTGGAAAGCTTTGGAAACGCTCAAGGCCAGAACGGATGGGAGAATTTTTATTGTTTCCATCATAAATAAAATTTAACTCCACATTTGTTACATATAAGCGTACATAGCAAGTAAATACGTCTAAAATATATATTCATCATCATGATTAATAAATGACTGAACGTAGTAATTGCTCTGATCCAAAGAGCTTGCAGCTTGATGAACACAGTTTATTTAAACGTTATGATAATTAATGATTTGAATTTTGTGGTACATCTTCCAAAAATCAGATCCTCTCACTCACACATCTTCCCAGCATTCCATTAAAGAAGAAGAAGAAAGCCACACAGGAAGGAGAAAGCATTGGCTATGGCTCTCAGAGGACCTAAGTAGCATCTTCACTTTTGCTATTTTCTTACCACATGTCTTGGGGAGAGTCATCTGGTCTCTGACAGTGTTCTAATCTGTAAAGTGATGTAAGTAATTATCCTGAACCCAGGTTATTGTGTGTTCATGGGTAATATAAGTGTTAGCACAGCAATAAGATTAAAAGCTAATCTGCTATAACAGTTGAAGAGGACAATAAGAAAAATGGAAAACGCAGCTGGTACTCCCTCCACATATCCACTGCTTCCTTAATGCAATGCTGGGAATTATAATAACTCCTATACTCACCTGACAGATGTTTATTGAGCACTTATTATGTGCAGGCACTGCAATGGTCTCAATATACCCTTATGCCTTCCATCAGATATGTCATTAACAATGACAGCAAATTCAAGTTGCACTCTCATTTAGATTTGTACATCTGTTGGAATTTAGCATTTTATTATCTATATATAAAGGATTTCAAGGAAAGAAAATTAAACAAATTGGAATTTGTGGGGATTGTTTAAGTTGCTAACAGACCCCATTTGAATTTGAAAAGGTGATTAGAAACATCATTGACTGGTCTTTGAAGCAAATCTATTAAATGAGATACAACTCATTCAGGTAAAACAATGAACTTCCGTGAAATACTATATTTTAAAATGATGTTTTGTAACATAGAATCATTCTCTAATTCATACTAGCATTCTACTAGTCAACATGAATTTTATTGCATTACCTGTAATTCATTGGGGATTTTTTAAATGAACGCCTTGAATAAGAAAATGCAAAACTCCCATGAAAACTTGGGCCCTATAGGGTTGAGAAAACACCCAGAGAAATAGCTCATGACTCAACCTCTGAGGGAACTCAGGGTATGCTGACACTAAGAAAGTTCTAGAGAAGCAAGGATACTGTGCTTTAAGAAACTGAATAATAATACCTAACAATTAGAAATACCCCAAACTGGCTTACAAAATGATCACACATATTGATAATCCTTCCATAAAAAGAGAGGATGGATAAGAGCAGGTGTGACTCTTTTCACTTAGAAAAAAAACTATGGGGACTTCCCTGGTGGTGCAGTGGTTAAGAATCCACCTGCCAGTGCAGGGGACAAGGGTTCAAGCCCTGGTCCGGGAAGATCCCACATGCCGCGGAGCAACTAAGCCCGTGCACCACAATTACTGAGCCTGTGCTCTAGAACCCGTGAGCCACAACTACTGAAGCCCGTGTGCCTAGAGCCCATGCTCTGCAACGAGAGAAGCCGCGGCAATGAGAAGCCCGCGTACCGCAACGAAGAGTAGCCCCCGCTCGCCGCAACTAGAGAAAGCCCGCGCAGCAACGAAGACCCAACACAGCCAAATATAAATAATAAATACATAAATTTATTAAAAACTATATCATGTAAAAGTTGAATATTTCTCCTAGTGTCTCTGAGCTGAGAACTATTCATCCATGTTGCACTGTCATGTGTTAACTGTTGAATGACACTTCTTTATTTTTCCATGAATATTTTTAATTTAAAAAATTCATGATTTTTTCTTTAATTACATAAGCAAAAAACATTTAAAAGAAAACATTGGAAACTAAGAAAAATTACACAAAAGAAAAAATGAAAATAGCCTCAGAGATAAGGATTATTAATAATAAATTAAGAACCAATTCTTTAAAAAAAAATAAAAATAAAAAACCAATTCTTTTTTTCTGAGTCTCTGCTGCTTCTCTTTTAAAAAGCCCTGGAAAAATCTTTAGAACAACCTCAATGTGAATTAATAGTATGGAGTCCTCACTGATTTTTGAACATTAACTATATAATGCAAAAGAAAAAAAGAAAAAGCAGAATAGGTTTTGAATAGAAATGAGAAGATCTTGGTTTTAATTTTGATTTGTCTTCCTACCAGCTTGAAGATAACTAGCCTGTGAAAACCCTTTGCATGCTGGGAAAAACCATACAGATACAAAGTATATGGTTCTTATTAATTTTCTCTGTCTCTGTGATGTTCTGGGAGCATTAAAGACTTAGCTTTGGTAGTATATCTTTGCTTGGATTAGCCCCACTAGGTAAGGGATATATAGTACCAAATATATATATATACAGGAATAGAGTGAGTGGTTTAAAAATACATAGGGAGGACACAAGTGCTGAACAGTGTACGAATGAAAGATGGCATGTCTTCTGCGGGTGGCCTGTATTTTAATTTCCCTTTTACCACACACACACACACACACACACACACACACACACACACACACACACAC